TCTGAATGCGTATTTTTGCCCCATTTTGCTGAACAAGAATTGTCTGATAGCCAAAAATAATTGCAGCTTGGGCTTAATCAGATATTAAGAGATTTCCTTGTTTCTTAGATGAGCGGTTTCCTAGAGATTTCGGTTTGGGGCTGAACTATTACTGGGCTTAAAGCGAATTGTAAAGTTTTAACATCTCTCTAAATGGCTTCACACAGCTCATGTAAAAGTCATGTATGTGTTTTGTTTATGGAGCTGAACCAGATTACTCAGTTATGATAGCTTTAACTGCATGTTGTCCTAGTGTTTCTTAAACATTTTCATTAGAACCTGGCTAGGAGCCTTTGCCTGACTTGTATTTTTTAAGGGCTGCTGCTATAACCCTGAAGTTTTTCCACACATAGTTTTGACGAAAGTTAGCTACTTACTTCTGGTTTACGTTTTGTCAGTTAATTCCAAGTACCCTAATAAATGTTAGTTTCCTGTGTGTGTGTGCATGTGTGAAGCACTAATTCAGAGGGGGAGGTTAGGATTGTTATTTCTATGGCGTGTGAAATGGGCTGGATGTTAGAGAACAGCAGAGCAAGGTGTGTGCCTTGCCTCCAGAGCAGGCAGCAGCAAAGAGCCTGCATGAGAAAAGTGGGAGAGAAAGCAAAAAGGGCGCCAGGAGAGGAATATAGAGAGCTCCTTGAATATTAAAGTACATATGCTAGTTTCCTATTTGTTCCTGAACGTAAGGCATTTTACTTTGATCTTATGTACGAGATGATGCAAAGCGTGGCCTTTAGAGGTGCACGAGTAGGAAAAGTATTCCAAACAGAAGGGATGCTAGAGGTGGCAGAGGGAATTGATGTCTCCTGGATTTGATAGCGTTTTCCTAGGTTTGTGAGCACATTTGTTAGCAATGAAGAGCTGGGTGGTGGGGATGGGCTTTGGCCTTTCCGTACTTTTCCAGCCATGCAGTACGTGGTGGCTGCAGTCCTCTGTATGCAGTCCTTGGTATTTCCAGATGCTGTTAATTTAGCCCTTGTTTCCCTGTAGTCCTTCACACGTTTGTACAGCCGAGCTCTCCAAGCTGGCAGGTTTCCGCGCCGTGAGAGCATTGCAGATGTGTCGGGGATGCACTTGCTCCAAGCGGCACAGGGAACGGCGGCTCCCCGCGCCGCCAAGGGGGCCCCGCAGGCTTCGCCGGCTCCCCAGCCCAGCCCCGCGCTCTCTCTTTAAAGCAAGCGCGATTTTTGTGCATCGGCTTTGGCCAATTTGTTATGGTTTGAGGCTGTGGAGCCAGCTGTCTGCAATCTGATGTAATGTTGCCCTGGAAACCAGAAATGAAACACTTAAGCATTCACCACAGAATTACTACATACAGCATTAGCCAAAATAATTAAAAGTTGAGCCATATGGGCTTTCGGATGGAAAAATTTGGAGCGGAGGCGATGGAAGTTAAGTTGTTCCTATTTACAGTACTGCAAATCCGTTTGTTTTCCCCTTGGAGCACGAGCAGAGGCCTGCGCTGGTGGTGCGCGGGGGGACGGGGAGATGGAGAGGCCCTGGCTGTTTTACCGGGGCATTAACAGCACCAAGGGTTGGCCTGAGAGGCCCTGGCTGTTCTGCCGGCACATTAATGGGACCAATGCTTGACCTAAAGGGACAGCCATGTGCCAGAGGCCGGGAGGCACTGGCTGAAGGGGTGCAGCATGGCCTCCTCCCATGCCAGGGAGCCTCTGGCCTAGCCTCTTGCAGACGCATCGTTCCCCCTTTAACAGGCTGCATCTGCCCTTTTGCAGTGCTGCAGCGCACTGAAGCGCTTGTTAAGGGGGAGAGGGCAACAGGGGGGCTGGCAGTGGGCTGCATCAAAGCCCTGTGCCAAGGCCCGGCTGCTAGAGCTGTACAGGAAACCATTTGCCCGGCCCACCACACACTGGGGAGATTGGGGTGATTTTCCCATCTGAAGTCAGGGACAGCCACCAAAAAAAGCAATTTTGTCACCATGGAAGCCGGGAGGGTAGAGTGGGTCAGGGAAGTCAAAGCATCCAAGTTCGATGATTTCCAAATATGTCGCTTATGGCCTGAATGCTTTACATTTCTGTTTTCTGTTTAATATTAGCTGTACAAGAAAGCATTGCATGGACTGGAAAATGAAGCTTTGTTTCCCATGCACCAAAATGGAAACTTTTGATAATTTCAAGGCCTTTTTAAAAAAAAAAAAAACGTTTCAAGACCAGGAAGTAAATAAAAAATAACCCTTTTTCAGAATGGTTTCATTTTCAAATGAATCAGTGTTATTTGACAAGAAAGTTTCCTGAGCAGCACCACCGGTGTAGTCACAGACATTTTCAGGTCTTTTTGCGTAAACTTATTAGCCATCCCTTTCCTTTACAGATTTTCCATGCCACATGCTACCCAATATGACAGCAAGTAGGCTGCTGGAGAGGGACTGGCTTTGGTTTTAGTCAGCCCATTATCCGGCTGCTCCTTTTGTTAATCATGAACTGTTTTCGCCTCTCTCGGCCAAGCATCGGCTCTAGGAAGGGTCTGTCACTGTCTACAGAGGACACTGGCTCAAAGAGTGCCAGCTGTCCTGAAGCGGCAGGTAAAACCAGCTGGCACTTGATTATGATGGGACTTCATTTATTTTGAAGTGTGGTGGGGCCCCCATGGACCACCCACTTGGGTTCAGTGTCAGTACCTTGCACTGAGGCTATTTTGACGCTCACTTTTGCAGTGGTAGTCGTGAATGCAAATGTCAGACATTGTAAAGGCTTTGTTGTCATTGTTGAGTCCTCATAACTCTGAGGGGGACAGTTCTTTATCAGATACTAGTGCTGCAAAAGTAAGACTAGTTTATTCTTTTATGAAATCCTGGGTGGGAAGACCATGTATAAGCTATTCTCTAGGTCTTGCAGAGCTCACAGTTTTACTAACAGTAGTCTTGAAGACCAAGGGTGTATGAGAAGTGATGAAGGAAAGCAATGACTTGGAATAATTGCATTTAAAATAAACATATTTCAAGTGCAGAGTATGCATGCATGATGGTTGCTTGCCAGGATGCACTTAATGGCCTTAGAAGTCTTGACTGAAGTTCTTGATTGCGGTCAATAATCCATTCATCTTCTTATCTAAATATGTCTGTCTTGTTTGACATGTCACTAAGTTGCCCCAGCCATAATCTCTGGATTAATGCTCGTCTTGATGCTTAATTTATCTTGATATAAACAAGTCTGGTACTCTTCTCTACAGCCCTGTTTTTCCCAAAGGAAGATTATTAATTACCTAGCCAGCCTGTACCCATAATAAAATCTGGGATGGCAGAATGGCAATTCCCACTGCCATATGTGGTCCATTTGATATTCCTTCTTGTTTTGGAGTAACACAAAGTTTGTAGGAAATCGGTAATTGACTGTACCCTTGCAGAAAGTGGCTTATGTTTGCTCTGGTGTGTTTCTGCTGGCCTTGTGAGGTGTGTGCCTGCAAGGCAGGCTTTCAGAGCTGTCCTGGCTCTTTCAGGCACTGTTTGTGCCTTTGAAAGTGTACCCGTGCAACTGCTAGTTGGTATCCTGCCCCATGGCATCTACTATTATTACCACATCCTGATATTTAAGTGTATTGGAAAAGCAGAAAGCATTTTTATATTCGGCATGTCTTTTCTTCAGCTTTCAGTTAAGCAGACAGCATTTTTGGTGGAGAAGAGGAGAGGGTGGCTTTTGGTTGGTTTTTGGGGTTTTTTTGGCTTGCATTTGTTGGGGATTTTTCTTTTTTAAAAAGTTTAATTAAGGAGAAGTAGAAAAAAGGATGAGTGCACTGTGGAAACCCAGATAGCTGCGCCGACAGGAAGTCGCATGAGGGTTTTTAGAGCTGACTATTAGGAATACGGCGAATTGGCTGGGACCGCGGGTGAAAACAAAGTAAGGTATACGATCCATACCACGCTCCAGCTGGAGCCTGCACTGCACACAGGAATGTACAGCAGTGCACGGTGCCAGGGTTGTCCTGGCCAAGACGGAGAGCCCTGCTGGCCTCCTCTGCTCTTGCCTTCCCTTCCCCCCGCCGCCTTCCACATTCTGAACTGATTAAAACAAAGGAAGTAGCACATTGAAGGTTGGATCTGGCTTGAAAATCGAAGTCGTCTTCTCGTTCACAAGGAATGGATTGTTTCAGCTTGTTGTGTCACTGCTGCTGGAGAGAGGGGAATTTTTTTTTGTCTCTGTAATGTTTGATACTTGAGGGAAAACAGCTGGAACTGAGCATACTGGATCAGATGCAAAACGAAACGGGATGCTGGGGAATATGGACTGCACTGTATATCTGAAAAGGTCAGAGTTTTCCCTTGGTCAGTGCTGGAGGAATGCTGTGTCCATCTTAATTCCAGCCTCGAGAGCCTTCAGGAGGAGTGTAGGGAGCAGGGAGGAGGAAAGGAATATTTTGTAGCTGTGGCAGTTCGTCAGTGAGGCAGATGAGGTCTCCTCCTTCCTTTTCCTTCCCGTCCCCTTCTTGTGCTGCTGGTTTTGATTTTCTGGGAAGACTGGGGGAGGGAAAAAAGAGAAGTCGTCAATGACAGAGCTTCAGTTTGGAGAAGCTGTTTATAACCTGGTTTAAACAGCAAGTTCTGAGATGCCAGACAGACCAGTGACTGACCCAAACCACAGGAGCATAACTGGTATGGTAAGAAGAGCCCTGGGAAAGAGCCCTGCCTGAAACTTACTGAGAGAGGACGTGGAAGTAGTTATTACACAATGCATGGGAAGAAAGACAAGGGCAGGAAGTGCCTAGGATCTTACGTTGCACAGATTTAGAAATCAAAATGGTATGTCATGCTTTCAGAAAAAGAAATAGAAAAGAAAAAAAGAAAACCCTCAGTAATATAAATGTTTCTGTCTGACCTGGTCTGGAAATATAACACCAGTTACAGAGCTGCATTGACACAGCGCAGCAGATGAGCTGGGTTAACTTGACTTGAAAGAGCAAGCTGTGGAACTACTACTTTATTAATATTTCCTTTGTTTCTTTGCCAGTCAAGAGAACAATCTGATGATGAAACAGAGGAGTCGGTGAAGTTTAAGAGGTTGCACAAGCTGGTGAATTCTACTCGCAGAGTCAGGAAGAAACTCATAAGAGTGGAAGAAATGAAAAAACCCAGCACAGAAGGTAAAAAGCAAAGTGCATATGGTTAAAATTGCACGTGAGAATACATGTTTCGGTTGAGAAGGGGCAGAAGGTGGAGGGCTGGGGGAGGGAGGGGTGGAGTGTTCTTAAGGGATGGTGGGAAAGACTGCCTTGTCTATGGTGCATGCCTTACCCAAGTAATTGCATTTTGAGACTGTGAAAGGAGGAAAGTGACAGCCTAGGATGTGGTTAGTGCTGATCTCTTGGTATTCCCAGAGCAGCTCTGGAGAGCCCTTCGTTAAGAGATTAGAACTCAGTTTA